CATCCCTCCCTGGCTGGCCAACCTCCCGCGTCTCTCCCCAGCCCCGATTGTGCACCGGTGGGGGTCCCTCGGCCTGGCCTGTGCCCTCTCACAATCCAGGACCCCTAGGGGGATGTCAGAGAGCCGGTTTCAGCCTGATCCCACGAGCCAGTCCGAGGGACCCCACTCATGCACGAATATATATAGTAGAGGCCCAGTGCACAAATATATATATATTTACATATATTTTTAAAAAAACGCAAAACAGATAGGGCCTGTCTGCTGTGTTGCTTTTCTGTAAGGATGGATATATGTGAGTGTTGCAAAAAGGGTCCCTACCAGTGTTTAGGATGTGGGTTGAGCTGTGATTTGGGAGTCCCTACGGCCTTTCCAAGACATGTTAAACCTGCTAAGGGGCCGCAGAGCAGCCTGTCAGCACATTACTTGCTTTAAAGCCCTGTGTTGTATGCCACTTTGTTCAGACACCACTCAGAAACGTCGGGTGTCTTCATCACCTAGGCCACTGGGTCAGCATTTCTTTTAGTGGCTGTAGGTCTCCCATCCGGGCCCTGTGTTGGTGTCACTTCTGTGCAGCTGTGTTTTTGGAAGTGAGCAGGTGCATGGAGGCCCTTCATCCTTGGGGAATGAGGGTGGATGCATGGGGCCTATCCAGAGGGTGGAATGGGGGCATCCTCACCGCTCCCCTCTTCCTGCACTAGGATCGTGGACACATCCCCCAGCAGCTCCTCAAGGAGCTGTTGGGGGACAGCATGGCCCTTGAGGCTGAACAGGTCCAGAGGATGAACCAGCCCGCCCACCTGAGCTGGGAGATGGAGCAGCAGTCAGAAGGTGGGTAGCAGCCCCTGCTGCCTGGGAGCCAGGCTGGGTGCGGTTTCTCCCTCATCCAGGGAGCTGAGCCCTTGGCTCTGAATCTCATGTGTCAGCCCATCCTCACCCCAAGTGAACAGGATTTTATTCAAGGGCCCTTTGGAACTGTTTCATTGCAATTCTCCCCAAGAAGAACATGCAGGGTCTGGCAGCCTTGAAGTCAGGACATGAACTACAAAGTAAGTGTTGCCAGATTTCTCAGCTCCCGTGTGGACAGTCCCAGGAGCTTCCAGATGACAGCACGTTGACACCCAGAGGATGTCTTAGATCTGTCCGTGGGGGATTGAAAGCTCTGGATGGCAGGAGCCTTCCCCAGTGGTCACTAACCTGCATTATAACAGAGGCCCGGGCTGATTTCCTCCGTTCATGTCATCATCGGGCAGATGGGTGCAGTCTGCTCTCTGTCTCCCTGGGCAGGGCCTGCTAAGTGTCTGCTTCTCAGGGGAGCCAGGCCTCTTCCCCTCTCTCTTGTGTTTGCCCCCTCACAGCCCCCAGAGGAGGTGTGGGGTTGGCCAGGGGCAGGCAGTGCACCCGGCAAACAAGTAGCCAGTCCCTGTGCTCAACAACATCACGTGCACCTGAGGGTGCAGGCGAAGGTGCGCTTAGATCTCTGCAGCGCGCAGGAGGGCCTTGGGCTGGTCTGGGGATCGGGGAGGTGCTGCTTTTCCAATTCTGATCAACATTCCTAAGCATCATGGAGAGGCTGTTGAGAGCAGCTGGATAGTCCTTCTCTTCAAGGGTCCCCATCAGTTCCAAACCTAAAATCAGTTCATTGAACTATGAATCTGTGTGAGAAGTCGGTTCTCTCTGTGGTTTGGAGTCTCAGCACTCCTGGGACCAAGGGTGGGCACAACAGGGATCTCTGCTCTGGGAGCTCAGGTTCATGGGGAGGACACTGCCCCCTGGTGGAACGCAGGAGTGGTGCCGGCTGGCAGGGACCTCTCAGACCTAATGTTTCTGTTAGAGACCAGGGAGGCTGGTGGGTTGGGAAGTCTCCCTGATTCAGGCCCTCTGTGTCGTTTGTGAACCCTTTCAGGTCAGTGCCCTTGACTACTTCTTGGTGTTCACACTTCTGCTGCTTATCTGGCAGGAACCTTCCCAGTGGGGACTAACTCCAGTACAACTGACATTCATAAACAAAGCGTGAATGTACTTTTGCGAGGATGGTGTGGTGGCTTCTTGAGTCAGAAAGGCCTGGCTTCAAGTCCTGGCTCCTCCACCTGTTAGCCAGGTGACCTCTTTTAAACCTCCATTTTCTTATCTGCAAAATGAGGTAATGAAGCTGCCTCCCAGGATTGCTATGCGTGTCTCGTGAGAGGAGACGGTGCAGCCTCACGCTGTGCCTGGCCCCCGGGGCACCAACAAAGGATGGCTGTCCTCATCGCCCTTGTTGAATGAAAAGATCCCCATTGCTCTGGTTCTGCGGGTGCTCGTGAGCGCAGCACCCAGTAGAGAACCATTGGTTGTTTTCCCAATAAACTGTTGTGTCATCTCAAGAGCCTCTGAGGCACTGGCCTTTAGGGAAGAGGAAATGAGGCTGGTCATCAGCTCCACTGCTGCACTTGGAGATCCTTCACGATCATTTCCCAGGAGACAGAGCCGGGTGTGAGGCACTGAGTGTGTCAGGAGGTGGGCGGGGTGAGTTGCAGGACAGTGGGGACCCATCTAATGCCACAGAACCATACGCTGAAAAATAGTTAAAACGGTGAACCCAGTGTCATAGATATTTCACCCCAATCTTGTTAACATGTATTTTTTTTACTGATTTCAGAGAGAAAGGGAGAGGGAGAGAGAGATAGAAACATCAAAGATGAAAGAGAACCGTTGATCGGCTGCCTCCTGCGCGCCCCATACTAGGCATGGAGCCTGTAACCTGGGCATATGCCCTGACCTGGAATTGAACAATGACCGCCTGGTTCATAGGTTGGCACTCTACCACTGAGCCACGCTGACTGGGCTCACCCCAATTTTTAAAACTGTTATTTTTAAAAGCGAAATCTTAATGAGCACAGGTGGTGACTTAGTGGAGTTTTCGGCCGTTAGGGTCGTTGGTGGCCTTGTCAGGATGAAGCCCGTGGCGAGTTTCCATGTGTTGACAGCAGGCGTGTTTGTCTGTGGGGTGCGCTGAGCTGGAGTTGGGCAACAAAGGTTCATTTGCTCCACTGCTGAGCTGCCTGCTGCTTCGGGTCTTCAGTCTGTTCTGGCTTCTTGGGTCTGTGCTGCTGTCCTTGGTGGGCGATGGGAACGTCCAGCTTCAGGTGCTGCGGTGACAACCGGCGCCCCTCTAGGTCCTTCCAGCCCCGAGGGGGTGAACAGGAAGCAGGTGGGGTGCAGCCCTAGGAGCAGTGCAGGGTGATAAGGCTCCCGGGTGAGGATGTGGCCCTGGAGGGACAGGTGAGGGAGCACCCTGACCCCTCATACATTCATTTACCTAAAGTCACGCACCTGCTTGTGGCAGGAAGGGGCCGAGAACTCCGGTTCTTCTCGGGTCTGTGCTCCCTTTTCTGTTCTGTGTTCAAGCTGTTTAAAAGCAAAGGAGGAAATCTGCCTTCTTCTGTCTTTACCTTATGTTGATCTCGCTTAGACTTTCTCAAGCAATTTAGATATACTGTCTCGTTCTTTTTTCAATGCAATTGTAAAAGCACAAAATGAAATCTCTGTCCGAAGGCCCTGCCCAGGGATGGTAAGTACTGGGCATACTTGCCCCAGAGCCTCTACCACCTGCAGACACACTGGTCAATTATCACCCCCCCACACACACCCTCAGCTGAGCCACCCAGACCCCCACCACTCTGAGGGCTGGCACAGAAAACGCCATCTCTTTGCCATCTCTGTTAGTCTCTGAAATCCCTGACTTGATGGCCAGGTTAGAACTTGGTAAAAAGTGGTTCCAGCAGTTCTACTGTCTTGAGGTTTTCCATTGGCCTCTCCACCGTCACCTTCTTTCTTCTTAGCTCTGGGTTGCTCCCCTACCAGGCACCAGCTGAGGCAGCAGAGGGGCTGTAACCCCCTGAGGAGCCCTCAGGTGCCGACAGCAACAGCACCCTGTGGACAACGGAGGGCACCCAGCCGACCACTCCAGGCTCCTCAGACCTAGGGCTTGGGGTGATGGTTGTCTCGGGGCCGGGGGCTGAGAGTGGAAGCCCAGGCCCTGGAATCTGGGATCTGACTCGACTTTGCTCTTTAGCCTCCAGCCATATTCTAGAGTTGAAAAGAGAAAACAAGGGCACGGTACAGGAGCTGCAAGGTGCCTCCATCGCCCTGCAGGAAAGCAGCATTAAGTATAAGGAGCTGAAAGAGGAGAACCAGCAGCTCCAAAAGCAGGTAATGGTGGGTGGTGTCCTGAACATACAGGCAAGCAGGTGGCCAGGTGGAGCGCCCAGGTGTCGGTGAGGATGCGCAGCTGGGAGAAATGCGGGATGCAGGGCAGCCACAGTTATGGTAGCGGGACACGAGTCCTCATGCAGCAGAGTCCCGAGGCAGCATGACCTGTCCCTGCAGCAGAGTGAGCGGACACTATGGACGTCTCTGTGCCCCATTGCCTTCATCTTCATCTGTGAGATGGGAGTAACGATGTGACCCTGTAGGTGTTGTGAGGATCGTATGAGTTAGTAAGTGCTTCCTGAAAGGAGAGCAGCGCCCTGTTAGAAAGCACAGGGTGGGCCTGGGAGGGAAGCAGTCATGGAAGCCACGAACGTGTGTGTAGGACCACGGATGGGCCGCTTCACGGCTGGGTCTTTGGCTCTGCAGATGGAAGAGTTGCAGTTGCAGCTATTGCAGGAAAAGGATAACAGCCAGGAGTGGGAGAGCCTCACTGAGGAGCTCGTGAAAGAACTAGAGCAGCTGCTCCATGAAGTTGACACCCTGAAGGCAGACAGAGCCCTGCAGGTAGGCTCCCAAGAGCGCATGCCTCCCCTGGCGCCCCTGCCTGCAAGGGGGAGCGTCCAGGATCACAGCCGTGTCCTGGTCGTTGATCAGTGATTCCTGGGTGACCAGTTTCCTCACCCAGCTGCAGCTCAGACCAGCAATCCTCAGCTGCAGCAGGGGGATGGGGACAGGTATTGCCTCCCAGGGACACTGGCCATCTTGTTTTTGATTGACAGGACTTGGGGAAGGAGAGGGAAGGTGCTCCTGGCTGTGGTGCGGTGAGGCCAGGGATGCTGCTCAGTGTCCTGCAGCCCCTGGGACAGCCCCACAGGACAAAGAGTGATCCCGCTCCAAATGTCCAGCGTCACCCTGAGAACCCTGGCAAACCTCCAGGGTGGATTCGCCTGGCACTACGAGGGCCCGGGAAGGCAGCCCAGCGCTGGGGCAGCGGCTCAGTGATGCCACCCAGGGGCCAGGCTTCCTTCTTCCCGCTCTGCCAGCGTTGTCAGTGGCTGTTGTACCTCCCCAGGAAGTGGGCAGGAAGGTTTTTCCTTGAGAAAAGGCCTGTTCAAGTGTTTCGTGGGGTGACACGTTTGGGCTTTGCTTTAAGTAAAGTTCACTCCGTGAAACGGACTTTCACACGGGCTGGGTCTTTGACTCTGCAGATGTTAGAGTTGGAGAGGCAACTCCAAAAAGAAAAGGACAACAGCCAGAACTTAGAGAACATCAATAAGGAGCTATTGAATGACCTAAAGCAGGTGCTCGACGCAGTAGACACCGTAAAGGCGGAGGCCCCACAGGTAGGCCCCCCAGAGCGCGTGCCTTCCCTAGCACCCTTGCCTGCAAGGGGGAGCGTCCAGGATCACAGCCGTATCCTGGTTATTGATCAGTGATTCCTGGGTGACCAATGATTCCTGGGTGACCAGTTTCCTGGCTCAGCTGCAGCTCAGACCAGCATTTCTCACTGTGGCAAGGGGATAGGGATAGGTGTTGCCTCCCAGGGACACTGGCCATCTTGTTTTTGATTGACAGGACTTGGGGGAGGAGAGGGGAGGTGCTCCTGGCTGTGTTGGGTGGATGGTTGTTCTCTAAATATCAGGGTAAATTGGTTGGTAATGTTGTTCAGATATTCTATATCCTTACTAATTTTCTATTACTCTTTCTTCAATAGGCCTTTCAAAGTAGTCAAAGAGGGCACCCAATGAGCTTATGCAGAGAAAGGGCATAATTTGCCCAAAAAAGGTCACATGTGTAGCACCATGTGATAGTCCGTTTATGCTGTGGGCCCTTCCCAGTGCAGTTCCTTAAGTGCTGGTAGAACTGTCCTCAGCACAGCTGGGGTTTTCCTGCCCTGAGGGTCCCTGCTATTTTGGTGCCTTGCTCTTGGCCCCTCACTGCATGTGGGGGTGCGGGGATGCAGAGTCTGTGACTCCCGGGACCTGCACCGGTGAGGCATCATCCCCTTTTCCCTCCCGGCAGCTGGACCCTTCCATTCTGGCCTCCAAGAACCAGCAGGCGGCCAAGGAGAGGGAGTGGGAGGAGCTGTACGAGCTGCTGGAGCAGCTGATTGAAGTCCACGAGGCCCTGCTGCAGGACCACGCATGCCTGGGGGCGCTCCATGACCAGCTGTCTGGGCAGTACCAGGCCCTCACGGAGGAGCACAGCCGCCACAAGACCCTGCTGCGCGGTTCCCTGGAAATGGAGAGCAAGGCGTTCAGGCGTAGGTGGGTGCCGGCAACTGTCGGGGTGACTAGCGAGCTCTCCAGGCTCAGTCCCCCTTTGCTCTGGCCCCTTGTGGTTCCTCTGGATCTGCTGCTTCACAGGAAGAGAAGTGAATGGAATGTCCCCCTCAGCGATGTGGGGTTGGTGCAGCTGGAGGCTGAGGGGTGGGAGGGTCCCCGAGGGGAGAAGGGTGTGCCCAGCTGATCCCAGCTCAGGGAAACCATGTGTCAGCATTGGGGTCCCTGCTCCCCTGGGGACTCCTGCCCCCTCTTCCTCTTCCTCTTCTCTCCAACCAAGAATAAGGAGGGGACTTTCACCACAGTTGCCGATTTACAGGGACGTGCCTTGCAAGGTTCCAGGCCTTTTCTTCCCTGTCAAAGTCTCAGAGTCTGTGCTTCTGTGTGTGTGTGTTTAACTTTTAATTTTGGAAACTTTTGAATGTATGGAAATGTACAGAACTGTATAGTGAGAGCCCCATGTACTCATCCCTGACGTCAGTACTTGAATACTCTGCCAATCTCATGTCATCTTTACCTCTGACTCTCCACCTGCATCTTTAAGGTAAAATCGATGTACATTGAAATGCACAAATCTCAGCTTTGCGCTTCTGCCTGATCAGGGCTTTGTGTGCGTGTAGTCAGCCAACGTCGCCCGAGCTCCTGCTCCGGCAGATCCCGGATTGCTCCAGGTCCGGGGCAGGTGCAGCGGCATCCAGAGCCTGGGGGAGGTGTGATGTGCACGGGATTCCAACTCGAGAGACGGGAGAGATGTGGCTAAAGAGGCTCTCCCACACTTGGAGTAGCACAGGAGAGAGCTATCTATCGTCCACTCCCTGTGCTTGTGAGACATCCCTGCTCACAGTATTTCCCTTGATTCCTCCTCAACAAGACGCTGAGCAAATGGGGGGTCTTCAGTAGTGGAAGCAGCTGAGGTGCGGGGAGTTTCCATTACAGGGTCCCGGGAGGACACTGAGCCAGCAGAGCCTGCTGAGGGCGCCTGCTGCCGCTGTGAGCGTGGGGGCTATGACATTCGTTTAAACGCTCACCCAGTGCTTCCTGTCCACTCTCCGGGGCCTTCCACCCCTTTTACCCTCTCAGGTCCCCATCCTTCCGGGGTGCCGAGACGTCTGCTCCTATCAGACTCTGTTCCTTCCAGCCAGAATGAGCATCTCCTGCCTCTTGGCATCCCCCTCTCTGCCTCCTCCTGCACCCATCCCACATTCACGTGATGCTTAGTGAGCATCTACTGGGCGTGTGATGCTGTGTCTAGATGTGGTGGGAATGCACCCAGCTGACTAATGATGGGAAACTCCTGTGGTGCCCACCCCTCACCAAGCACCTACCAGCTTTATCCTTCAGGCCCTATCTATACTAATAAAAGGGTAATATGCTAATTAGTCTGACCCGACATGTCCTTCCTGACAAAGCCGGGACTTGGGCATCTGCGGCCGACCTAGGCGAAGCTGCTGGAGGTCCTGGGCGCCTATGGCTGGCCAGAGGGAGGGAAGCCCGGGTCCCAGGTGCAGGGGCTGAGGCAGAGGCAGTTAGGGGTGATCAGGCAGGCAGGCAAAAGGGTTAGGGGTGATCAGGCAGGCAGGCAGGAGAGCGGTTAGGAGCTAGTGGTCCCAGATTGCGAGAGGGATGCCCGGATTGGAGAGGGTGCAGGCCGGGCTGAGGGACCCACCCTCCCGTGCACAAATTTTGTGCACCTGGCCTTTAGTGATTTATAATAACAGTGCCATGATATTCTTAATGTCTGCTCACATGGGGAAGGTTTGTGCAAGTAGCATCTGACTGGCTCTGAAGGAGGAGTTCATTGTCACTCTGCTGGTAGCTCCGTGCTTGATAGACCTCCTGTGTCACTCGGTGGTTTTACTGGTTGCACCGAGAGCTGGAGCCCTTGGTCTGTCTGCAGCAGGGCTGCAGGGTGGGAGGTGGAGGTGCCTGGAGCACGATTCATTTCACTTGGGAAGGTTTGTGCAAGTAGCATCTGACTGGCTCTGAAGGAGGAGTTCATTGTCACTCTGCTGGTAGCTCCGTGCTTGATAGACCTCCTGTGTCACTCGGTGGTTTTACTGGTTGCACCGAGAGCTGGAGCCCTTGGTCTGTCTGCAGCAGGGCTGCAGGGTGGGAGGTGGAGGTGCCTGGAGCACGATTCAGCACGCTTGACCGGGACCCTCACTCCTTCGTTCCCTGGCACATGTTTCCTGGGTGTCAAGCTTCCTCCCGGAGCCTCGGGAGTGAGGCTCGCCGTCTCTGCCCTGCAGTAGGGTGGTTACCAACGGTTGGAATGTGCTTGATCCAAATGCTTTTCCAAGACACAACAGGGAAGCAGGAGTTGGGAACCCTAATGGTCCATGGCCACTTGTCAAAGCTGGATGGCTTTTCCCAGAATCGTTTACCTGGATGAGAACGATCACCACCCTGAAAGCCAGGCAGGTCCCCCACCCCCACTGGCCACTTCCCACGTCGGGGCAGCCTCCGCCCGTGGCTGACGGCCACAGGACGCTTGTCTTTCAGTAGCCGCCACAGCAGGTTTCTGAGTCTGAGTCCCCCCGAGTCTTGGCTCCTGGCAGGCGGTACGAGTACAGCTGATGGGGGTGGTCGAGTGGAGGTGGAGGGCTGCAAACCCTGGAGCCCTGGGTGGTCTCTGTCAGCCTGTCTCTGGGTGTGGAGAAGTCAGGAAGGGGGTCTGGAAAGGGATTTGCCTGCGTGGGGAAGAGCGAAAGGGGATGAGTCACGAGGAGCTGCCGAGTCACCCGAAGAGGGGAGGTTCCCGCAGGCCGGAGGGACAGCCAGGGGCTGGTCAGGGACTGCCCCTTGTTCTCTGCAGCCCTCCAGAGAGGCTGTGCGGGACCCTGTAAACACTGAGAGGGGAAGAAAATAAAAGCCCTGAGTGAGGAGGAGGGTAAGGACTGGACTGGGGGTGCCTGGAGGAGCAGGGCGTGTGGGTGTGCACGTGCCTGTGTGCCCCTGGCCCCTGGCCCCTGGCAGCTGCTTGGGCCCCAGCAGGCAGGCCTCTGGCCCCCATGCTGCCTGGCTCAGCACAGGGAGACTCTGTTCCTGAGCTGGGCGGAGGGCTCACCTGGCCCCGGTGAGGGGGGTCAGCTGTCCCGTGGGTGGAATTCCCTGAATATGTGCTGCTTTCTGTGAGAAGGGCGAGGAGTTCAGAAAACAGTGTTGGTGTTCCCAGCGGGCTAACGGAGAGAGGCTGCTTACACAGGGCCTGGAAGGGACCCTGGAGAAGGGTCGGGTGGGAGGAGGGACTCGGCTCCGGGGCTGGAGGGGACCCGTGTCCATCCCCGCCGCCCTCAGCTCTGTAGAGAGAAGCCGCTCACGGAGGCTGTGCAGTCTCCTGTGTGTGGGTGCCTAGCGGGTGTTTCCCTCCTCAGGGAGCAGGACCAGCGCCAACATGAGGAATCCCTGCAGGAGCTGAGGAAGCTCCTGAACACCCAGAGGGAGGCTCTGAAACAGGAGCAGGAGGCGAACACCCTGGCCGCCCAAGAGAAGGAGAGGCTGCGGCAGGAACTTGACAGGTAACCGCCTCTGCCCCCTGCAGCGCATCTGCCAGGTTTCATTCAGAGCAACTCACTCAGCACCCACTGAGCTAAGCTCAAGCGAGTCTCCTGGTGATGGTGTATTTTTACCAACCCTGTCATGGTCACAGCTGGACGGTCACAAGGTAAAGGCACGCCAGCTGGTGGCTGGGATGGGAGGACTAGCGACACGGGGGTGCTGCATTGTCTAGGCTTGGTGACCTCCCCTCCCACCTTGATGATGGTGATGATTGTATCGGGCGAGGACCCCTTCATCCTCTGACACCAGCCACCCCGTGAGGGAGAGGCGCTCGGTCCTCGGCATTCATGCATTTCCTCTTGGTGAATTCACCTCCTGGCTGAAATGCACTTGAACCCCCAAATCGCTGGCCGTGGCCTTTCATGGGCCTGCCCAGAGTGGGAGATACTGGAGTCGCCGATGGGCACATTGCAGGGGAGGCTGAACAAGACCTTTGGCTGCTGCCTTGTTTCAGCTCTCACACTGCAAACCAGTGTCCCTCTGTGGCCCATTGAGTGCCATGGAGTTCTGTTTTCGTGCTTTTTGGTGGCGATGTCGCTGTTTGGAATGGCCCCTAAGTGGAGTGCTGCAGTGCTGTCCAGTGTCCCCAAGGGCAAGTCTGCGCTGGGCCTCATGGGGAATAAAGGAGCGGCATTTGAGACTCACAGGAACCGGCGGGGACAGTTTCAGTGTCCACCAAATGAGTGTTCTCGGTGGTTTGATAGGACATTATACCGTGAACCATGAGAATTAACTGCATTATTGTTATTCCTCTTAAAAAAAAAAGATGAGGAAAGAGGCTGAGAGAGATTAAATAACTTGCTCAAGTTCATGCTCCTAGTTAGTGGCCCAGTCAGGATTCAAATCCAGGTCTTGTCTCAACCCAGAGGCACGGCCATATGAAGCCTTCCTTCCCACAGCCTTGTTTTAATATGTATTGGGGGCTGCAAACTCAGGTGCCTCCAGTGGCCAGGCAGGTCCAGCCGGTGGGGAAGGAGTGTCCGCGTTAGAGCAGACCCTGGTGGGGAATACACACCCTCTGAGGGCTGTCAGCTGGGAGGCAGGCCCGGGCTGCCAGGTCATTCTTTTTTTAATCTTTTTTTTAAATCCTTACCCCAGGACAATGTTTCCATTGACTTTTAGAGAGAGTGAAAGGGGGGGAAGGAGAGGGGGAGAGAGAGAGAAACATCGATGCGAGAGAGTCACATCTTTTGGATGTGTACAGCACACACCCCAACTACACTGGGGAGCAAACCCACAATCCAGGTCTGTTCCCTTGACTGAGACTTGAAGCCATGTCCCTTCTGTACATGGGCTGATGCTGTAACTACTGAGCCACACCTGCCAGGGCCTTTTGCTTATGCTTTCTCCCCACCCTCTGAGAAGCTAGATACCTGAATGTTAATGTGAAACTTAAAATTTTAAAATATTGATGAACTAATTAATTTAAATTGAAAAAGACAGATGATGTGGGCCAAACAGGGCACATCTGTGTCCAAATTGAGTCCATGAGCCTCTGGTCATGTGAGCTTTCTGGTCTAAATCTTCCCCCTGAAACCCAGTCGGGCAGTTATGACGACAATGATGATGATTTCAGTGGATTTACCTAATACTCCCGAGTCTCATATTTTATTTGTCTCAGGAGTGAAATTAGAAAGGAGCTTGGAATTGGGGAGAAGAGCTGGGCATAGACATACAGATTTAGAGCCAAAATGTTCTGATTCCATGTATTTCAAAAGTATTTCAGTCGAAGAGCCCTTTGTTCCAAGTCGGCAGGTCTGCCAAAGTCTTGCATGGGAAGGATTCTCACAGGGTGCTCTGCTGAAGAGGTGTCCGACCTGCCTGTCCTGTCTCCCCCAGCACAGAGTGGCAGCTGGGCTAGCCTCATAGAACCCCAACAGACACAGTTTGAAAACCGCTGATTTTGTTCAACCCTCATTTACACACGGGAAAAACGGAGGCCCAGAGAGGTTGTGGTTTTGATTAAGGTGCACACCTGTGTCGGAGGCTGGGAGTGCCCCTCAGCCCTTGGCCGTGTGACTCTCCACCCCCAGAGCCAACTTCTGGAGCCAGCTGGTGAAGGGGGAGCAGAATGAGCTGCGCATCCAGAGCAAAGGCATGCAAATGTCCCTCGAGAAGCTGCAGCAGGAAGTGAGGCTCTGGCAGGCCCGGTACGAAGGGGCGAAGGAGGACCTGCAGAGCATGGAAATCTCGGTGAAGAAGCTGAGCAGCCAGTGCGAGGTGAGGCCTGGGCTGAAGGGCTCAGGACACCGGGAATGGGTCCTCATTGGCGTCTGTGCTCAAAGACTGTGTGTGAGTGTCACACAGAGGCCAAGGGGAAGCCAGGGACATTTGAAGGGGACAAGTCCCATGACAGGAGGGGATGTGTTAGAAACACCTTTCACCTGACCTTTGCTTTTTGCAGGTCAGGGCGGTGCATGGAAACAGCCAAGTCCTGTTTCTTTTCCGAACCCTCGGCTGAGCACTCTGCTCTGTGCTCACCGTGTCCTCTCATTTATTTCTCACAATGATGTTGTGAGCTGGGTTCCCATCCTCGTCCCTCTTAAGTAGCGGGTTGCAACCCAGTTTGTGTGAAGCCAACGTTGCAACTTTCCTGCTACACCCACCGGGATGATATTCTAGAGCAGGAGCAGACCCACCTCAGCCCGAAATTCAAATCCAGCCGCTCCCCCCATGTGTTTTTATGTCTGTGAAACAAGAATATTTTTTTAAATATGACTTTTTTAAATTTTATTGATACCAGCGAGAGGAAGGGAGAGGGAGAGATGGATGGAAGCAGCCATGATGAGAGAGAATCATTGATGGGCTGCCTCCTCTAGGCCCCCTACTGGGGATCGACCCCACAGCCTGGGCATGGTCCTTGACTGAGCATCTCACCAGCGACCTCTCGGTGCCTGGAAGGACACTCAACCAACTGAGCCACACCGGTTGGGAAGCTTATTAATAACACGTTCTACGTTGTTTTTTAAGATTGTGATTGAGGCCTCAGAATCTGTTGTGTATTTTGCACTTGTGGCACATCTCAGCTCAGACCGGCTGTGTTTTCAGTGCTCGGTGGCCACAGGAGGGCCGTGGTTGCCTGATTGGACGGTGCACTTGGCCATCCCCATGGCATTGGCTGTGTTGGTCATTCCCTCTGGTGTAGATAATACCACAATGGCCCTCTTTGAGCACGTGGCCTTTTTCTTCTTTTGGGAACAGATTCCCAGCAGTGGAATCACAGGGGTGCATGGTATGTGAGACATTGCTGACCTGTGTTTTAGGTGCTCTCCAGTGTGAAGGAGAACTTAGAAGAGGAGAAAGATAACCTCAAGAGCCAGATTGACACATTGGCCAACAGGAACAGTCGGCTTCTAAATGAGAATGAGGACAATGCTCAGCGCATGTAAGGGGTGTGGGCTGACCTGTCCACAAAGGGGCCCTGGCTTCCAGCCCCGCGCCTGGGCCTCGACATTCTGGGCAGAGAGCCCCCTGGCGCACTGGTGTCCCAAGGGCAAGGGGTCAGACCATCTGGAGGGCATGCAGGGCCTCGGGAGTCCCTCACCCTCCCTGCTGTGTGGCCTTGAGCAGCCCCGGCTCCCTCTCAGGTGTTTCCTCACCTGGCATCAGGCTGTTGTGATACACTGTGTAAGGCGCCTGGCACCCAGCAGTGTTCAGGAGACAGACCCCCGTGCAAAGGTGGCACACAGCCTAGTGTCCGGGCACCAGTGGGGCCAGGCAGCTGGCTGGGACCCAGTTTTCTTCAGAAAGGGGATAGATTTGAGATGGGGTGGCAAGGAGAGCAGGTGCCGGGCCGAATGCTGAACAGCCCGCTGTGGCAGGGGTGAGCCCGCAGGCCAGGCCCTAGTCCCAAAGGCCGAGGGAGTGGAGCCAGCGAGTGCTGGGCTGGGCCTCACTGCCCATTCGCATAGTGGGAGCACTGGCCACACAGGTGTGGAGAGCTTGGCCTCAGGATGAATCTAAGGCGGAGACACTGGTCACCAGACCACAGCGCAGCACCACTGAGCTTCCTCAGGAACATTTAATTGGCAACAGTCCCCCTCCAAGTGCACAGGCAGAGGGGGTAGCACGACCTGCCCTCACACCAGCTCGCCAGGCCGCCGGACAGGGCCTCTGAGGTGGGGAGGGACCAGGTGAGCTGCATCTAAGGGACTTGGGTGCCCTAAGTAGCAGGGGGCTGAGTGGGGTGGGGTAGTGGCCCAGAGGACAGCTGAGTAAATGGTGGTGCAGACACGGGGTGCTCTGAAGACACGGGGCGGGGGAGGCTGGAATGGACAACTGACCACCTGCACCCAGGACCATGTGACAGATGCCTTCACCCAAGAGGCCGCTCCTTCCTGGCTCCTGTGACCCTCAGGCCAACCCAGCTGGTAACAGATGGCTTTGACCTTCTCTGCTCTGTAGCTGGCGGACCACACCCAGGTCCCAGCTGCCTGTCTTCGGGGTGGCTCCCCGCTGTCCTCGGTGACCACCCAGTGGGGACACTCCCCTTTGCCTCCTCTAGCTACTCTGACCTGTGGAAGCTCCGGTGGGCTGGTGTAAGAGACAGTAAGGGTCCAGGAAAGGCCTGACCCCACTCCAAGTCATGTAAAGGACATGAACTTGGCTTGCACCCCAGTTCTTGTGATCTAGGCAAGCAGACTTTTGTCATAGCAACTGTCATACATAGATGGAACTAGACAAAGCTTGCCCAGTCTTGCCCAGCTTGTAACGATCTGCTACTTCCCCATGATAGGCCAAGCCCTAGCAGTGATCTAGGAAGCATGACCAGCCACAGCTTAGTATAAAACAGTGTGTGTAAAAAATAAAGTTGCTGGTGCCTTGTGCCAGTCCTCCTAACCCCGGTCTCTGGTGCTTTCATCCCACGCCACCTCTACCCTGCGGGACCCCTTGGGAGCGGGCCTCCACACCAGGGGACTCGTTTTCCAGCAAGGAAACCAGGGTCTGAGCTGTCAAGGCCCACGGGTTTCCGACCCTGAGTTTCAATGGCTCAGGGCTTGCTCTCGGGAGAAGACGTTCAGCCTGATCCTTGGTGCTTCAGCAGGTCTCCTCCACGTGTTAGGGTTCCCGGACCCACGTCACGTGCTTTCATCCCCATGTTCCCGACTCGGCAATCACAAGGCCATGAGCACCGTGATGTCTGAATCCCAGGAAAATGCTGGCCCTTCTGGGCCAGGTCCCAGGCTGGGCTGAGTCAATTTACGTGTTTTATTTTAAAAACTGGGTTGCTTTTCTTTCTCCTCTATTTACAGAGAAGAAGGAAACTTACTGACAGTAAAAGAAGAGGAGGAAACAATCATGGATACTGCTCCCAGGAAGTGAGTTGATTTAATGGTAGTAACGTAAGCACAGAAAGCTTGCTCTTTCACGAGTGGGGAAAGCTGTAGCATCTAGAGCAGTGACCAGTTTGTTGGGCCCGCATCTTCCCCTCCATGGCAGGTCCAGAGTGGGGTCTGTGTGAATTCACTGCAAATTGTGTTCTACCCCCTGAGCCCCACATATGAAGATCATGGTGCTGGCGAAGAGCTCCATCCTTCTGAACCCCAAATTAACGGCCACTTGCCCAGGTGGAGGGACAGTGAGGGTTGGCAGAGTCCTAAGCCTCTACTTCTAATAGGAAAAAGCGCTGGATTGGAGCCAGAACCTTTATCAAATTCTTCAAATGCAAAAACAACGGCTCTGGAGAACCAGCGGAGCCGACCCCAGACAGCCCGCCCGGGCCCCTGGAGGCTACGCCATCATGCTCATACCGGATGGAAGAGCGAGACGCCCCCAGTGTGCCTGTGGGAAAAGGTAGGAGGGTGACCTGGCTGCAGGCGGGAAATGAAGGGGAGGACCTCAGGTCTCCATCGTGGACAGGGCAGCACCAACGAGATGGCGTGCTGGGTGTGCACACGTGTGTAGGCGCCTGAAGGGGGTGTGCTCCCCCATTAGGTATGAGAACAGCCAAGTAGAAAATATAAACCCACGTCAGTGTTGTGGCAGTTTTGTCCCAGAACAATTTAGTTCCTTTAGCACGAGAAGCCCCGCCCATCACATACAGGTGGTGGGTCCTGGAATGCCTAGAGCAGATCTCCATACAGTTACCGCAGAGAGAGCCCAAGAGGGTAAGTTTTGGGGTTTCCTTGTATCTGCCGGGCCTGGGAGAAGCCATTTCCGGAGGGAGATCCCGGTGCATTTAACACGTGATGGACACGTGCAAGGTCTTCAGCACGGCCTCGGGGCTGAGCTTTCCACCCCTCTGAAAAGCAGCCCCTCTGAAAAGCCGGTGCGGTTCTCTTCTCCCACCTTCCTGGCCTTGAGTCCTCCCACCAGGGGGCGCTGTACCTGGTCATTTAGGGCTGTGGTCGGAGTGAGCCAGAGGTTCCGAAATGGGTTTCTAGTTGATGTGCTGCATGTATTTCATCAGGTGTGAGAAGCTGTCAGTTGTAAGCTGTAGGATTATGTGCTCATAGAAAGGCAATGAATGGGTGGTGGCAGTGACGATTTTGTCAGAATTGCCTCCTAGCCGACAGTGATGTGAGAGATGCTCAAAGCTGCATCCTGACTTCAGAGATGTAAGGTTTGGGGGTGAAAATGTGCATTTTACAATCGATTAAACAAAGCCATCGTCTTAAACGTGGTTTCATTTTCAAATTCACTTTTAAATATCACTGTGTACATTATTTACCTATAAACCTGCCCAACAAGCCCCCTGAGAAAGTAAATTTTATGAAGGACACTAGGGCTTTCTGAGGACCAGGGCCGTGCCTGAGACTCGTGTGCTCTCAGCGGCTGGCGTTACAGAAGCTGACAGGGCCCAGGGCCTGTGCCAAGCCGCCTTCTGAGTGTGACGTGTGCACAAGCCTCTCCAGGTGGCAGTCACCACTTCAAGTCCCGGTGTGTCACTGGAGAGGCTAAAATGAGGTGTGCACACGCATGCCCACTGTCTGGGGACTAGTGCTTGCATCCCCAGTCTTCACAGCAGGTGAATTAGGTCAAAAGCTCACGTGCAGGTAAATGATAATGAAGCTTTCATACTGGCTCCTTACATGTTGTGACATTTACCACCTCAACTTGTGTTATTGTCTAAGTTGGCTTAATGACTATAATCAGCCTAATGGAGTTGGCAAACCTTTCAGAGAAAAAAATGCTTGACTGATCCAAACTGTCGTTGGGGTCCATGAATGAG